CATCATCACCATCACCATCATCCGAATCACCATCATCACCATCATCACCACCATCCTCAGCATCACCATCATCACCACCACCACCATCATCATCATCACCACCATTACCATCACCATTATCATCATCACCACCACCATCATCATCACCACCATTACCATCACCATCATCCGCATCACCATCATCACCATCATCACCATCATCACCACCATCCTCAGCATCACCATCATCACCACCACCACCATCATCATCACCATCATCATCATCACCACTATTACCATCACCATCATCAGCATCACCATCATCACCACCACCATCATCATCACCACCATTACCATCACCATCATCACGACCATCATCACCATTATCATCATCACCATCATCACCATCATCACCACCATCCTCAGCACCACCATCATCACCACCACCACCATCATCATCACCATCACATTTATCATTGCCCTCTCTAGAAGCTTAATGGTAAGCTTGTGCTTTCTCCTACCTGTCAGTGTTGTCTAACACAGTGGCTCATTCTTTATTGTTTAAAGATTTCCTGAGGGATATTTAAAACATTATTGTCCCAAAACATTTTCTGTGCTCCCTCAGCATCTCTCAGTGTAGCCCTCTGAACCCTCCAGGGAATATCAGGATATATTCAGGGTGGGGGGAGTTGATGTTGCGMCCCTGTCTGCAGCTCCTAGGAGAGGACTGACGGACCAACAACAGCATAGTGACTGGTCCGTCCTGCAGTCCGAGTTCCATGGCTGAAGTGAGGTCACTCCCAGCTGGGAAAGGCTCTTGCAGGACTGTGTCCAGTGGGTTGAGTGGTAGAAAARGCATGGTTACCTAAGTGGATTTTTCCCCGTGGAGCCAGTTTTGCTCGTTTGCTTTTGGAGAACTGGGGAAGGGAAGAATGGGAAGGGACCAGAAGGAACCGCAGGCCCTGCATGCTGAATCTGAGTGTGGCCCCTGCTCACCTTCCTGCTCGGGGGAAGGCAGTTCAGGTGGCCTTCACATTCTCAGCCACTCTCGGAGGACAGAAAAGGGAACGGCACTCTCTGCACCATCTGATCCACTGTGTAAACATTCCTGACTGTCCTCGTGTCAGTGTACCTGCTCATTTCATGCTCCTTCCCCCTCTCCTGGCTCTTGCACAATAAAAATGCTGCACACGATGAAACAGAATCAAGCTCTCCTTTCCTTTGTTTGTGTCCCATCACATTTCATCGCCACGTGTCTCGCATACCATTGCTTTGCTGCCTCGCACAGGAGTAGGTTGGGGCTTGAGCTGGAGGGGCTGRCTCTCGAAGCACAGGCCCTGGCCTCTGTGGAGGGGCCAAGGTGGGAATTCATGGTTCCCTGGTGGAAGGGGGTAGAGAAAGCAGCCCGCTGAAAGTCATGTGAACCCACCAGGCTAATGGCCATTGGCCCAGAAGAAAGGACCATCTCAAGTCGGTAAGTGCAAAAAAGATAGTGGCCATCATTCTTCCCAGTCTTGTCATTCATTCTGGAAATCGGGAGGTGCTGGACAGGAGTGGGGTGGAGGGAAGAGAGACAGAGGGAGTAGGAAGGCGGGAGTGAGCACAGAACTGGGGGAGGGTATGTGCAGAGGCCGATCCCATGAAAAGCTTTGATGTTGGTCTAGTTGCATCATCTCCATGAGCCTCCGTTTTCCTATCTGTAAGGTGGGATTAGAGCAGGAGTTTATCACAAATTCTAAAGGAGTGGGATTCAAGTGCATGAGCCCAGGAAGTGCCGCTTTGATACCTCTGTATCCCTCTTCACAAGGCTGATTTCCCAGTTAGAGTATTTTTACCCCACTCTCTAGGACCCCAAGTCCTGTCTGAACTCAGCAGGCAGTGGAATGGCCACACGGGGTGGTAGAAACAGCAGGGCATTTGGGTCACACAGGCTTCGGTTCAGCTGCTCATCAAAGTCATGGCTTTGGTGCTCTGTTGCTGCATGACCAATGACCATGGACAGCAAGCTGTTGTCCACATGAGACAGGGCAGGTGTCCAATGACCATGGACAACAAGCCGTTGTCCATATGAGACAGGGCAGGTGTCTTGGTCCATTTTGGCTGCTTTAACAAAATACTGTAAACTGGGTGGCTCAAAACCAACAGAAACTTCTCACAGTTCTGAAGGTTGGAGAGTCCACAACCAAAGTACTGGTGGCTTCAGAGTCCAAGGCCCACTCTCTGGTTCTTAGACGCCTTCTCACCGTGTCCCCATGTGGTGGAAGAGCTGGGCTAGTGCTCTTGGGTCTCTTTTTATAAGGACACTAATTCCATTCCTGATCACCTCCTCCCAAAGCCCATCCCCAACATGAATTTGGGCAGGACAGGAACCTTCAGACAGAACCCACAGCCGAGTTCCCTGCTCAGGGCTTGCTTGCAGGCTGAGCAGCTCTGATCTGGAGGCTCTGGGCAGAATTCTCTTTCTAGCTCATTCAGGTTGTTGCAGGATTTAGGTCCTTGAGAGACTGCAGGCCTCGTGTCCTTGCTCTTGGCTCTGGAAACTGCCCGMTTTCCTTGACATGAGGCCCTCCATCTTCAAAACCAGCGACAGAGAGTTCGCCCTCCTCGAACCTCTATCATATTTTGAGTCTCTGATTCTGTCCCTAAACTCAGGTTTAAAGGGTTCCTRTGGTGAGGTCAAGTTCACTGGCTACTCTCCCTTTGTAAAAGTCAGCTGTGCCCTCTCACGCCACCTGGCCTAACCATGACACTCACGGTTCACAGGCACACTGCAGGGCAGGGGTGGGAACCCCAGGCACCACCTTAGAACTCTACATGCCACAGTTACTTACTAGTCATAAGAGCCTGGGGGAGAGCCATGAACCGCTCTGGGTCTCAATGTCCTATTCTCTAAAGTGGGTGGTCATAGAGTCCCAGAGGAGCCAGCGTGTCACGTTCGTCGATGGGTAAACCTGGGTAAAGGGTAGAACATGCTTCCCCAGAGTGGCACCTTCAGCAGGGCTGGCTGGGGCCAGGGTCTGTGTTCGAAAAAAGTGCCCTTGGGTGATGGTGAGGAGGCGGCTCTGCAGGCCACCAGAAGCATCCAGCCGGTGTGTGCCCTGCTGTCTCYACAGTCCCTCGGCTGCTGCTTCTCCTTCTAAGATCTCTTTCCTTGGCTTCTGTACAATCGGGTAATAATAGTTGCTTCAAGCAGAGGTTCTGGGGAGTTAAGAAATCATCCACCATCAGCCCAGGGCCACATTTGCTAAGGTCCTACTGCACTCTAGCAATGACGATGATCGTGATCAGTGTCATAATCCAGTGGCCCCTGGCTCTGGAGCCTKGGGGGGGGGTGGTGGAGCAGCAGCCCCAGCTGCCCTTCAGAACGGGGCCTTCTCTGAACCTGAGGGAATGGGTGCAGGAGGATGGAGAGCCGCCCTCTCAGCCCAGTCTCTGAGCGCCCAGTGGCCCCCGGCTGCTATCTTCCTTCAGGAGCTGTTCTTGGGTGCACCTGCCCTGCCCTCTTAGGGTTGGGCCTGGCCTGCTCAGGGACCTGGAAACCAGGCCTTGCTCTGCGGAGGCCAGAGGCAGCCTCCTTCAGCCACAGGGAAGTACTCGGCCAGGGACAGCGGGGCCCTCTGAGGACATCGTGAGGCCATTTCAGTCTGTTCTTCACCACAGTCATTTCCGGTCCTCTCTTGGGGGTGGCGTTGGTCCAACTGTCCCACAGGCCCACCCGCCCCAGGACTTCTGTCCTGCTGGGCTTTGATGTGGCGCCCTCAGGAGGAGCCCAGCAGGCCCAGGTGACAGACCCGTGTGTCCTGCAAGAGCCTCACTGGAAATCCCKATTTCAGTTTCCTTCTGTCGGTTTGGGCGAAGCTCCTGAGGCTCCTCAAGCTGTAGATGCACCAGATCTGTCCCTCCTGCCCAACCCTCGGGGCGCTGGGGACGCATGGCCCAGGGAGGCTGACGGCCGCCCTTTCTTCTCAGATCACCTCCTGCCCGACGTTGCCAGCTTCCTTGCTGGAACACCCAGGCTCCATGCTCAGCCTCCCTGCCCATCTCAGGGGAAATTAGGGGAGATGGCCAGGGTGGACTTGGCAGGCGCTGGCCTGGAGGGGGCAGCGAGGCATGCTCCAGGATGACTTCTGCCACCTCCGCTGCTCAGTTCAAGTGTTAAGTGCTGCCCAGCGATGGAGAGTGGTGACGTGGGAAACGGCGGACGGGAGGCCTTGCTCATCTGGGGGCTGGAGCTGAGGGTGGGGGAGACCTCAGCCTGGCTGAACTCCRCATCCTGAGCCTGGAGGAAGGTGGGGTTGGGATACGACTGTCCTGCCCTGGGGACAGATCCCCGGCTGGGCAGGAGGACTTTATATGCCTATACCTCTGGGTGACGTAGGTGAYTCCCCAGCTCCTCAGGAGGCAGCCACACCAGGCCTGCGTCTTGCCACTGGCAGTGGGCTGGGTCAGCACAGGGCCGCTCAGGGCCCTGGTGACGGGTCACACGGCTCACCACTGAACCCTGTCCTTCTCTCCTCCACAGCCAGGCCAGCACATGGCTCCCAGCCCCCACCTGGCTGTGTACACTGGGACCTGCGTGCCCCCCTCTCCTTCCAGCCCCTTCTCCTCCTCCTGCCGCTCCCCCAGGAGGCCCTTCCCCTCGCCCAGCCGCTTCATCAGGAGGCCCAGCAGCACCATCTGCCCCTCGCCCATTCAGGTGGCCTTGGAGGGCTCCTCAGCCTTGGAGCCCAAGGGGGAGCCCAGCTGGTCAAGYGTGCAGCGCGGCGCCCTCATGGCCGAGAGCAGCGAGGCCTCCCTCGACGGCCCCGGGCCCCGCGGCCAGCCCCGGGCCCTGCCCAAGGCCCGCGCGGCCCTGTCCTTCAGCAGGTTCCTGAGACGGGGCTGCCTGGCCTCGCCSGTCTTTGCCAGGCTCTCACCCAAGTGCCCTGCGGTGTCCCACGGAAAGGTGCAGCCCCTGGGGGACGGGGGCCAGCTGCCGCGGCTGAAACCCAAGAGGGTGACAAAGTAAGCGGAGGGGCTCGTGCCTGGCGCCCGCACCGGGGGCTGCGGTGTGGACAAGGCTCCGAGCCGTGAATGTGGTCTGGGGTGGATGGGGTGGGTAGTGAGGAGGGTCCTCTAGAGCAGACCCCACGAGTAGGCAGCTCGTGTCCCTGGGCCACCGGAAAGTCTCAGTCTTGCTCTTCCTCCTTTTCCTGAGGCGAAGGGACAGGCATCTTTCTTTCCCCTTCATGTGCTTCCGCCCAGCGGCCCATCCCAGCCTGTTGGCCAGTACGTGCACTGCATTAGGAAAGGGCAGGAAAGATCTGCTGCAGTGAGAACCACAGGCGGTGGACCCTGGGAAATGACTCAGGGTCCCCGCCCTCCCTTGCTTTAGGTGCCCTCATCTCCCCGCCCCAAGGACACCCGCCCACATCATTCCTGCACCCACCTGCACACTCTCTTGACAGGCTTGCAGGGACCCTGGCCCCAGCAGGCAGCGGTTTCTGTGAAATCAAGGTGCCCTGTGTCCTCCTGAGCAGTGGCCCCTCTAAACTCCATTTTGGGTGGTCCTGCAAGCCTGATGTCCCCTGATGTAAAACCACAGCTCAGAGGAGGTGCCTGACCCAGGGGCAGAAAGCAAAGAATGGAAAAATCAAGAATCAGCCCTGTCCGCGTGGGGCTGGGGAGTGGCCGGGGGCACCCCGGACCTGATCCACGTGCTCCGTGCTTGGTTCTGCCTGGGTTTGGTGAAGGAAGTGACAGGCAGAGGTCTTAGGTTCCACGGGGACTGAGACATGTGGTCTGGGCCGGGCAACGTCCTGGGGGACAGCCGGGAGTGGAGGTTGTGACTCTCTCCTGCCTTGTCTCTTGGGGAAGCAGGAGGCAAGGTGGCTCCGTGGCCTTGGGAGGGGATCGGGATCCAGTGTGTCTGCCGAGTCTTCCCAGCTGGCCCTGCTGAGGGGATGTCCTCTCTTAGCAGCCACTGTCCTGCCTCACACGTGGCCCGGAGGCTTTTAAAATGCTCTCTTCTCAGGGATCATCATGTCCTCAGAAAGCAATTTAAAAAGGTTGAGAATTAAGTACTGGTGTGTCCTACAGGAACATCGTGAACTCATCAAAACCATGCAAATTCAAGCCCCTTGAAAAAGAAAATCGAACATGTTCAGAATTACCTTTAATTCAGCAGCAAAGCAGGAATCCCCAACCGAGGGATCCCCGGCCGACGCTGTGCATGTGAAGTTGGGGAAACGCCCCCCCAGGCTGATCTTCTCTGGGCCCCTCGGGAAACTTGGGGGTGAGTGGCCCTTCCGCCCTTTGATCACAGCTTTTCTTTTGTGCCTGAAGCTTCTTCCAGATCAAAATGGATGTGCCCATAGAGAGCGGACCCTGCCTGATGGACTCGGACGACACTGGAGAGTCTGGTGACCAGGCCACAGAAAAGGAGGTCATCTGCCCCTGGGAGAGCCTGGCTGAGGGGAAGGCAGGCTGAGCCGGGCCGGGGGCCCCGAAGATGCTCGTGGCAGACACTGCTGGACAGGGCCACGGGGCATGCTTGCTCTCAAACCAAAGTGCATTAGGATGGCGTGTGAGGGCCGGAGAGTCCAGAGGAGGTGAAGGGTCGGGGAGAGTGCTCTGGCCGGCTCCCGATGGCCAACCCCCTCCCTTGCCCTGACTTCCCTTTGCTTGGCCAGAAAGGCACGTGGGCCAGAGGATGTCCCTTGCTGCCTTAAAACCAATAAAAGGAGAACTTGGAAGATTTTCTCGGGTCAAAATGTTAGCATGTGCCTGGCTTAACTAGTTATTCATGAGCTGTTATTTGTAAGGTAAGCTCATGTCTTCCTGAGTCTTGTCAACAAAGGGACACTGAGTTCCTTCCCAGAGCTCCCTCCCTGTCCAAACTGGTTCGAGCATGATGCTTTCAGTAACTGCACTCCAGGAGTCGGGGTGCCCCAGAGAGTGGCATCCTGCAGGAAGTGGGGGGTGGATGAGGAAAGACACTCTCCTGGAGCTCTGGATCCTCCAAGAAGCTGACACCAAAATGGGATTTGGACAAAGGGCAAGAGCTGGAGGAGCAGGCAGGGGCCCTCAGGCTGTGGTGCAGGTCTGAGCTGTGGGGAAGGAGGTGGGGAGAGGGAGAGTCTCAGATGGCAGTGCAAATGGCCAGGCTGGCCCTAGGTCACCCTTGAGTTAGAGTCATCGTCTGAGGAGTCCTGGAGATCCTGACTTGGTACAACCACTGTGCATGGTCACTGCATGGTCATGCTCATGGGAAGCTGGCCCCAGCAAGGATATGTGCTGTGGGTCCCACTCTGCACCAATGAGGCCATCTGTTCACCTGCTGTCTGCAGGAGGTGGCCAGACTGCTCCTCTTCACCCCCACTGCACCAGGTGAACAGCAGGCAGCCGTTCTGGAGGTGCAGACTTGGTGTGCACTTCCCACCTCTCCCCCAAGTACTCATCCAATAAGTAGTGATCAGTTGAACTCCTACTGTGTGCCCAGCACTGTGCTATACTTGGGGATGTCACTGTGAATAGGACTCCTAGCCCCATGGATTTGGATGGTTCTCAACCGGGTCAATTTTTCTCCCCAGGGGACACGGCACAGTGTCTGGAGACATTTTTGGTTGTCAAGACTTGGGTGGGGAGTGGGAGTAGCATCTGGTATCTAGTGGGTAAAGGCCAGGGATGCTGCTAAACATCCTACGAATGCCCAGAAACCCCACAACAAAAGATTATCAGTCCAAGACGGTGTCACTGTTAAGAAACATAAACTAGAGGTTAGGGATTATATTGTCTTTGGTTTCCAACCCCATTCTGAAGCATTGCCCCAAAGAGTCCTGCTGGGATCATAATTGGGTTGGACAGTGGGTTGAGATTAAGAGATACATGGTTAATAAAACAATTCTTCAAAGTTGCATGGAAAGTCCTTGAAGGAGAGCAAAATTCCACTTGTTTGCAAAATCGCTCATTACGTTCCTCCCCTTTGGCCCTCAACTCTATCAGAATTCAGTTAGTAGATAAGAACCCCCAACTTGCTTTTAACCTCTGACAGCTTATCTTATTTAGGCCATAAATACTGGGACTGCTGAATCCTCTCTCCACAGGGCAACCACAGATGTGTGAATACTTCGAGAGCTTAAGAGCGTTGCTCAGTTTAGATTCTAGCAAATCTACTCCACGGAGCACACTCCGAAGTCACTCACCGAGGGCAAAGGAAACTTTTCTTCCAGGAAATAAGTAAAATAGTCTGGTCTTTCCTGAAAGGGGCGTGGGTTGGTTAATTTGATGCCTTTATTTGCAAAACTGATTCAAAATGAGGTTGAAGATGAGGCCAGTTCCTACCTTTAGTTACCAGCAGCCAATAGGTCAAAAGTAATGACAATCTCGACTCTGGATTTGGACACTAGTGTTTATGGGCCTCTCCTCTAAGACCCCAAGATGCTAAAGAGAACTAAACTTTCCTGGATCCCCAGAATCAATGACAGAAGGCTCCAGGGTCTACTGGTTGGATAAGGTAAAGTCCAGGCTGAAGTTCAGTCACAGACATCAGAAGGATGTGGCTCAAATAGGATCTTCTGCCTCTGTTACATAGTTGCCCAAAGACAGGAGAGTAGTCCTATGGGAGGCACGTCCGAGGAAGATAGGAAATGCAGGGGCCACAATTTTTTTTTTTTTTAGTTTGTCGCTCTGCCCAGACCCAAGTCACAGGCATGGAGTATGATGTTTCTCCATCTTGTGTGGATATTAGAATCCACCGGGGAAACCTGAAAGGTTCAGGACTTTCTAGCCCTTTCCCAGGTGACTTAATGTCCTGATGAGGTTGAGAACCATTGCGGGGGGGGGGGGGGGGGGGGGGGGGGGGGGGGGGGGGCAGGGATTCAAGCTGGCTCACCACCCCCAACACGCATGCCCAGGAGGGAGGGGCAGGAAGGTAGCTGATGTTTAAGTTCACCTCCCATTGGTCAGCACTTGGTCACATGGTCTCACCTAACCGCAAAGGAAGCTGGGACATGTAGTCTTTAGTCCAGCCCACTAAACTTGAGGAGTTTTGAACACTAGGAAGGAAGATGGAGAGAATTGGTATTGGTAAACACTTGATCTCTCCCACTCTGGAACCATTATAGTCTTGGGGGGACTGACAGTATGATGGGACAGGAGAATACAGGTGGTGGCACCAGTTACTTTTCATTTGGCCAAATATTTTGTAAATGCCCCCCAATGCAGCTGTGCTCTGTCCCACGGTCAGGTTGCTTTTCACTCCCTCAAACCCCAAGTGAGGATTGGGGGTGACGGTGTTCCCCTCATGGAGCTTCTCTGAGCTTGGATCTGGAAGTCCTGGTGGACCATAGGGTGTAGGATGTGTGAGCCCTGCCTGGGGGTTAGTTGGAAACACATGGAACGAGGCGATGCATATGTGGCCCCTGGAAACCCCTCACTTGTGTGTCAGTCGTGTCCCATTGCTGTGACCAGACAAGAACAACTTAGAGGAGTAAGAGTCATGAGAGCTCATGGTTTCAGAAGTTCAGTCCCTGGTTGACAGACCCCATCACGCTGGGCCTGGGTGAAACAGAACATCATGGAGGAAAGGTGTGGTGGGGTGGAAAGCTACTCAGCTCCTGGTAGCCAGAAAGCAGAGAGAGAGAGATGGAGGCTCCCAGAACAAAATATAAACCCCCAAAGCAGGTCCCCAGTGACCTACTTCCTCCAGCCACACCCCACCTGCCAACAGTTACCACCCAGGACAGTCGTTCTTTTCAATTATTAATCCATTAAGTGGATTAATCCACTTAATGAATCCACTGATTAGGCCACAACTCTCATTAGCTAGTCATTTTACCTCAGAACATTCCATTATCAACACAGGAGCTTTGGGGTGACACTTTGGATCCAAATCATGACACTTAGCTGAAGAGAGGACCAAGCACCCTGTCCCAGTGGGTGAGTCTGTGAGACAGCCTTCTGGACCCCTGCCTGATCTCAGTTGCCCATGTGGCCCAGCACCTCCACTTCATGGGGAGCAGGTGGTTGACGTCTACTGCTTATTCTCAGCTTCTGGGGTCACAGTGGAAATAGAGGCCACAAGAATCCCATCGTAACATTCCATTACACTTGTCAGAGTTCCCACAATTGTCTCTTGACAGTCTATAAGCAGAGCCTAACATGGTCACCCTCACCTGGTCCTCTGGGGCAGGGAGCCCTGGGTGGTCCATGTAGGACGGTGAATTCACTGAGCCTGGGAGGAGGCCAAGCTGCTCCTTGCTTATTTGCTAAGAAAGAAAAAAGGGGCATCCAGGATTCTGTGCTGGTCAAATACTGGAGGAGTCCCTGGGTGCCCAGCAGGTGGACTGGGCAGGTGAGGGGAATACGGTCCCTTGAACCACTGACTCAGAGTCCCAGCCTTCCAGGCCGCGTGGCTGTTTCCTCCTCACACTTCACCAGAAGAGGGCGTCCAGGGCTCACGGATCCCCCAAGAGAGGCATCTGGGAATTTCCCTTAAGAATCCAGAGACCTGCGCTGGGAAGAGAAGGGMCTGGAGAGGGGAACTTCACTCTTCAGCAGCTGGGTTGGGGTGTGGGTGACCAGGGACTGAGCCCCTGCTGTGACTTCGTCCTGCTATCCTCAGCCCTCAGATCCCCTGGAGCTGGCCAAGGTGGGGACTCGGGAGAGGGAAGCCTCTGGCTGGGCCTTGAAGCTGCCTCATGGGCCTGAGTGACGGTGGGGCCCCCAGCAGAGCTCTTCTGGCCACTGTGCACAGAGGGGGACCAGGCGGGGAGACTATCCCTGGTGGCCTTGGGTGAAGGTTGAGACTTGACAAAAAAGCTTCAGCAGAAAGAAAACGTCCCCCTTCCTTCTCCAGTGGACTGTGGCCAGTAGAGTCTCACCCTGGGGGAGCCATTTCCTTTGGTCCAGCTCTGGTTCCTAGGACTGGAGTCTGATGAATCTTCTCTTCGACTCCTCAGCCTGAGGGGTCTATCTGCTCCTCTGTGGAAGGCAAGGCTGCGGGGGCTGGGGCACGCAGAGGGGCCAGGCCAGCACAGGGGGGTTTGAGGGGGGGGGTCAAGCTTTCCTGCTTCTCAGTCSATGGCAGGGATTCCCCATATGACAAACGGAGAGTTTTCTCGTGGGATTATTCAGAGACCCTCCAGTAGGGGGAGTGTATGGACACAGGCACCCAGGGCCACATGGGCACACCCTRGGCTGGGCATGCGTGGAGAGGCCCCATGGTGTGTGCACGGTCTGCTGTGGATGTGGGCCTGGGACTGGCTGCCTGGGGACTCCTCAGACTCCAAGGCAGCAGTAACTGTGGGCTGAGGCTGGGAATCAAGATGCACATGGGAAGCATCTCCAGGAGGCCCCCGGAGCAGCCTGATGCTGTAGAAGAACATCTGCCTCCCTGACCCCGTGTTTAGGGACAAGTGAGCTCCGGGCATGAGCCGAGGCAGCTGGAGGTCCATGGGGTCCAGCCGACGGGACCAAGGTCAGGCTCGGGGCTGGGCCTGGGCAGATGACAGCATGTCTCTGCACAGAATCTTTAGAAAAGAAACATTTTCATGGTCC